GCTGCCGCCTCCGCAGGGCTCACAGTCGGTCACGGCACTGCGTCCGAACTGTGGAGCGCCCGCGCGTCACGCGCTGGACACAGCTGGACCGGTACCCCCTGCCCCGCCACTTCTCACGGCGGAGGGGTCTGCGATAGCAGGGCCGGGGATGACGCAATCCGCCCTGCCACCGCTGGCCACGGGCGTGCTCGGAGCGGCTGGGCCAGCGATGACGCAACCTGCTGGACATGTGCAGGCACGTGGAGCCACTGGGGCCGGGGTGGCTCCGGCCCCGATGGAGAGGCGAGTGGCCCCACCCTGCCCGGAGGGAGTGATGCGCCCCGTGGGCCAGCTGGCCACAGGGAATATCCTCCTGGGGGCGTTCCCGGATCCCTCTCTCTCTCCACTGCCTCCACTTGAAACGGGGGGGGGCTGCTGCGAGCTGCGGGGAGGTGGCCCCGGCTGCAGCCGCCCCTGTGCGCCCCCCTCCTGCTACCTGGGGTGCTCCCGGTGTCTGCGCGGCCCCGGTGGCCAGGGTGCCAGCCTCCTCTGCGCTCTGCTCCGCCCCTGCTGCGGAGGGGGATGAGGCTGAGGCAACTTCGTGCCGGCCTGCGCCACATTCGCGTGCCGTGCTGGTGGACACAGGCGCCACCGGGGCTGGAGAGATCCCGGCGGCGGCCGGTCCGGTTCCCATGGCTGCAGCGCGAAGCGGGGACGCGTTTTCCCCCGTAATGTGCTTCCTCTGTGCTCCGCCCCTTCCCTGGCATGGAGGAGGATGAGTCTGGGGCGATCCCGACGGCAGCCACGGGCTCTGCGGGGGCTGGCATGGCCCCGGCTGCCAGCTTGGCTGCGCTGCCTCTGCCTTCCGCGAAAGCAGATGGAAAACCAGCGGTTCCGAAAGGAGCGCGGTATGCTCAACTTTTTTGAGTTTTGTATTCACAGATCAGCTGACTGGTCGCGAGGAGATGGTGGTTTTGGGTTCCCTGGGCTACCTGAAGTTCGCTGGCCAGCAGTCCTGACTGAAGAACATCCCAAGATGCTGCATGCCATGTCCCTCCCTGGTGGTCTAGTGGTTCAGCTTCGGCGCTCTCACCACTGCCGCCGCAGTTGGAGTCCCGGTCAGGGAGCAAAGCGATGCTATGTGAGGCAGCTGTCCGTGATGATCACGAACCAGGAGGGACAAACGACCATGATTCGCCCTCTTGTTGCTTTAACTTTTACTACGCCCTGGGGGAGTGATGTTCTGTTCCCGTGGGGGTTGTGCATCGAGGCGGATTTTTAATGGGGGCCACTGTGGTGATGGAGCAGATGGGGTGCCACAGTCTGGTCTGCCATTGCCCACCATGCTTCTCAGACTGGCCACTTTTCATGATTGATTGAACAGATTGTTTCTTTTAGATTCCTTTGTATCCTGATGATATTCCAAAATTTGCTTTTGCAGTGCCAGTTTTCAACACTGATGAACCTGCACAGAGGTATCAATGGAGAATTTTGCCCTTGGGCATGTGAAACTCGCCAGCCATTTGGCAGCGGTTTGTGGCTCATGCCTTGTCTGGAGTTCACAAATGCTTTCCTGATGCCCGAATTTGTCATTGCATGGATGATGTCCTGGTGGCAGCGTCCACTCAGGATGAGCTGCTGAGAATGAAGCCTCAGCTCTTCAATTCTTTGCATTCACAAGGGCTGCAGGAGGCTCCAGAAAAGGTTCAAGAGCACCCTCTTTGCAAATGTTTAGGAGTCAAAATGATGGAGAAAACAATTCTGCACCAAGAAGTGCAATTCTGGTGTTCGATCAGGACACTGATGTGTAAAAATGGATGAATGTTGTCAGTTGGTTATGTCCATATTTGGGACTGACCACGACACAATTGTCTCCATTGTTTGATTTGTTTAAGGGTGATTTGAAGTCACTCCGCACATTGACTCTGGATGTGCCAGGAGCGCTGGAGAAAGTTCAGCAAGCAATTTCTGCTTGCCAAATTTATCGCATTGACCCTTCCTTTGATGTCACTGTTTTTATTATCATTCCAGATCAACAACCCACAGGTAGCATTGGCCAATGAGATGACAAATTGTCTGATCCCTTGCACGTTTTGGAATGTTTTGGTTTGGGGTTTTTTGCATCATCAGCTACGAAAGACAGCATCCCCATTTTTTAATTGCTTGCTCACCTGCTCACAGGTTGGCAATGGTGCTTGCAGTTGAGGGGAGCAGATCTTGCAGAAATCATACTCCCAGTACTGTGGGAGGACTTTGAGGTGGCGTTTGCAAGAAACGTTGCTCTGCAAAGTGCTCTCGACAGTTTTCCAGGGTGGATCACTTGTCATCTGCCCAGCCACAGGCTACTGTATGTGGCGAAATCAAATCATTTTTATTTGCAGTCCAGACATAGTCAGGGGCCAATGCAAGGACCCACCGTCTTTCCTGATGGCTCAGGACGACCAGGAAAGGCCATTGTTACTTGACAGGATGGATCTGAGTGGCAGGTTCTGGAAAGTCATGAGGCTAGCTCAGCCCAATTGGATGAATTGAGGGCTGCTGTCATGGCATTTGAGAGATTTTCTCAGGAACCTTTCAGTTTGGTCACGGATTCAGCCTGTGTGGCCGACATCACATAGTGGTTGGGTTGTTCAGTTTTGAAGGAGGTCAGTAATCCTGCCTTGTTTCATTTACTGAAAACCTTGTGGTGTGTCATTCAGGTCAGGGTTCATCCATTCTACGTTCTGCATGTGAGGAGTCACACCAATTTGGCAGGATTTATAGCAGAAGGTAATGCGAGGGCTGACAAATTAGCTAACCCAGCATGGGTAGCACCTCAACCTGATACACTCATGCAGGCCAGGGCATTGCATGGGTTTTTCCATCAGGACGCACATACATTGCAGAAGCAGTTTCAGCTGTTGCCAACTGAGGCTCGGGACCCAGATTGCCGAGTTTGGCCGGTTCAAGTATGTGCATGTAACAGTGGACACGTCCTCCTCTGCTATGTGGGGTTCTGCTCACACTGGAGAAAAAGCCCATGCTGTCATTGCCCAGTGGGGGCAGGCCTTTGCCTCTCTAAGCATGCCTTCTGCTGTGACAACCGACAATGGTCCAACTGGTCAAGCCATTGTAGAACGTGCTCATGGCACTCTGAAGTGGATTCTTGAAAAACAAAAACGAGGAATGCAGGATGAAACCCTGCACTGTCGATTGCCAAAGGCTTTGTACACCGTCAATTACCTTAGGTGCCGCAGAACTCAAATAACCCTGTCATTCAGAATCACCACTTCTTGTTACAGGCTTTGGACAAGATGCATCTGCCTCGAGCCAAAGTTCGGGTGTGAAATCTAGTCACCAAAGGGGGGAAGGTCCTTATGACCTTGTTGCTTTGGGGCATGGGTATGCATGTGTGTCCACAGATACTGGGGTGTGCTGGGTACCTTCAAGGTGTGTCCATCCTGACCTGCAGCTGCAGACAGAATCCAGCCGACAGGCAGGATGGAAACCGTGACCAAACTGAAAGTCATCAAGTGGACGACTCATCAAGTGAGGACTCAGAGGCAGATAAGTGAGTCACCACTCTGATGACCCAATCACAAGCAGAGATTGACCACTGTTCATTTCCCTTTCTGCATGGTTCTTTTTTCTTTTTTAAATGGTAAGAGGGTGAGATGTTGCACCTGTGTTCTGGCCTTCTGATGTTGATGGATTTCTTTTACACTTTCTCACACTCTTTCTGGTAAACAGTGGATGTTTTGCATTCCTCCTTGGAGGAAGAGAGAATTGAGGGACATGTGATGAACCAATGGAGTCAAGAGGTCTTACCATCACTGTCCAACCCATGATCATTGTTGGAATTCTATAAATACACATGTAATGTAAATAAAGGGGTCTTTTTCTGCTCGACTTCCTTGGAGTCAGGTGTGAGTCTCTCTCTCTCTCTGTGTCATTCTGTGACACATAAATTAATGTGTTTATTAAGAAAACCACTACTTCATAGATTTTTATGCTGGGTATTTCTTCACTTCATCTTCACTAAACCTACAGCTTGATTTTGCACACTGAAAACTCAGTATACAGTCCCAGTGAATTCAGAGCACGACCAGCTTTCTGTGTTCAGGATTAGTTCTCGGTTTCTGCTTTTGGTTCCTTGTAAATCTACCTGCTTTTCTCCAGTGTTAATATTGAATTCAGCCGGATTAAATCTAGGCAGAATGGGTACAGCACATTTTTTTCTGCTAGCTGATCACTGAATCTGACTTATCAGCTCTGTGACTTGCTATCTGGAAGCTTGATACAAGATCTTCTAAGTCTGTCTACTAAAGAACATAATTTTAACCAGCAGTACGATGTCTGCAAGTCCTCTACCATCAGCCTACCTCAGCTTCCCTTGAGGAAAGAGGAAAGAAATGGAAGTCCTAATCAAAACCAGCCTCTGTTTTTTTTTACATAGCACTGATGAAATGAAACATCCATCCTGGAAGTGCAGGAGATTCCAGGAGGCATTCAAGGAAGCTCTGCTAAGGAGAAACAATGTGCAGTGGGATTTCAAATGGCCCTTTCAAAGGAGAGTTCAAATTGGGGTTTTTTTCTTGAATCCAACAGATCAAAATGATAAGCAAACAGCATTCCCAACTAGGCACAAGATAAACTGAAAGATAACAAAGGGGAGAATATTCTGTTTATTTATTCCTCTTTAAAATTACTTTAAAGAAAATTTAAAACACTATTTTAAAAAGGAGATTCAGAGTACTGAGAAGCTGAAAATCAAACCACAGAGGAGGCATTACAAGGTTAGCAGAACATAGAAAGCATAGTTAGTACAAAACAGATTTACAGTCTCAATGAACAGCAAATTTGTACTGCCCATAGAAGTGGAACAGCACATAATGCTGCCCCTACTCTCTGGAACACAGAACTTTTATAATTTTGTTTTATTGTAGTACTGTGTAGGAAAACACAACAATTTTTAAAAAGCAACATTTTCTATTGAAAGAGAAAAACATTAAAAATATTATATTGCTCTACAGGCACTGATAAATGTCTTTCTATAGTAAAAGAGTGTGCCAAGCAGAACTCAAAATTGTGTAATTCCTCTTAAAATCATATAGCCCTGGTGAGATTGCAAATAAAACTTAGTTATGCTACTTCTCTGGCACTGCCTGACAGCAGCTCTGCCCACTGTGAACTGTCTGCATGTCTTCATGGACAGGGCTAGGCAGAAGCAACAGGCAGCAATATTGGAAAATGAAGGTATCTCCTGGCAAGTCAGAGCACTGGCAGCTCAGATCCATGGAGGGCATTTTGTTACACTAACAAGAAGTGACTGACTGAATGAGCTTGCCAACGCTTTCACTCTGCCTGTTTCAAGTTACACCTGACCTTGAGGTGCTGAGTCCTACTAGGGAGCAAATGGGAGCAAGAAAAGATTGCTGCCTACAGGCCTCCTTAGAAAGAGCCACTCTGGTGGCCAGTGGCTACTGGCAGAGGGTCAGCTAAAAGTCCTGTCTGAGCTTGCCATCAGTAGACAAGTGCTTCCCTCTCCTCTCCCCTTGCTGAGCACAGACAGCTGTATATTACATACACCCTTCTCAGCAGAGCATTCTGCTCAGACTATGGAGCCCTTATGTCCCCTGGGAGAAAGGATGAGGACTTCACTGGGATCTGCAACAAAAATCAACTTAAAGCCATCGGAAGAAAGAGCTGCTAGGGCCTTGGAGGAGGTTAAAGCAGTGCCTGTGCAAGGCACCCTGAGGCAGATTTTTACCTTGCAAGCATCCTCACTTCTGAGACTCGTCCTCCCCTGTGTGTTTTGGCACGTGCAGCTCTGCTGCTCTCCGGCTCTGGCAAGCAGGATGCCTGAGATTAGCAGTGCTGTGTCACAGTGACCCTGCCTGCGCACAGGGCAAGGAAGATGCACTCCAGTCATCTGTTCTGCTAAAGAGTCCCTGCCTTAAAAAGTCACGTTTTAAAAAATGCCACGGGAGGTACCAGTTAATCAAACATGTCCTCAAACATGCGTTGCCCCATAGCTATGTAAACCTCTTTTTCCTCCGGTGTCATCTGGGCCACCAGCTCGGGGCGCTGGCTCACTTGGCTGTAAGAATGTGGACGCCCAGCCACTGTGACAGTGGGGTCTTCTGCCACCACCTCAAACTCTTCATCCTCGTCCTCCTCCTCCAGCCCATATGTTGTGGTGGCTGTGGCGGCAGGGCGGGGAGGGGACTCCTCCTCCGACTCACTTGTCTCGCTCTCGGAGTCACTCACATTGCCACCAGAGACAGGAGCAGCACCGCTGACGGTGATGGTGGAAGCAGAAGGTGTCTTCTTCTCGTGGATAAGCAGGGCACGCATCACCTCCTCATTGTCATCCAGGGCTGCCCGGCTCTCCTCACGCTCCTGGAACGCATCCAGATCCTGGCCCCCTGCAAAGGGACACAAGGGAATGACCATTGCCTCACAGACATCTGTATGATGGCCCTGAAAGTTTTCTTAGCCTTTTATTAATTACTGTCACTGAGCTCAGTTGGCCAAGTCACACCCTTTCCTTTCTCTATGCCAACTCCTCCTCTCCCTTGACAGACAGAGACAGCTATGTCTCATAATGGTAGAGCAAATACTGACATTTCCTTAAAGGTGGGAGGCCTAGAGTCACTGTGGGTCCCAGCTGGAAGCCTTGACCAGGAGTACATTGCAAACGAAGACAACAAATGCACAACGGGCAGGCACCTGAAAATGACTTCCCCAGGGAAGTGTCCAACTCAGGCATTACAGTGGAGCAGAATGCAAAGCAGTCCTTAAAATACAGACCCCAAGCCCAGGCCCTATCCTGCTGAACTCCCTGCCTGTAAGGATTAACATGGAGAAGAAATAGATCCAGGCAGACAAAGAATATGTGGAGACCATGTGTTGTAAAACAACATTTAGAACAGCCATGCCTGGTGAGCTCAGAGATACACGTATACCAAGCAGGAAGGGGAAAAGCTCCTTACAGGAAGATGGTGGTAGCATGGAGCAGCCACAGCTGACAGCCTGCAGCTCAGTTGCACAGCACAGCACTAACCAGTACCTGCTCTCCAAGCTGAAACACTGCCCAGACAGTCCCTGTGGCGCCCTAACCACATCTCTTATTTGAAGGGGACTGCAGTCAGTCCCAGCTGACACACCTGGCCTGTGCTCCTCTTTCAGAACACTTGGCTGTACAACAGCTGGGAGGGCTCAATATGGCTCTGGTAGGCAGGATGTCTGCAGTTCATGGATTCAAAAGGTAAAATTCTGCTCAAAAAGTAGCACCCCACAGAAACCTCTCCTAATCCTACATTTGGTGAGAGGGCAGTGAGTCCACCTAGAACCAAAAGAACTACAGGCAGTATGGAAAAAAAGAAATACTTTTTAAAAAAGCAAAACAAAAAATTAAATATGGAGAAAAAAATAAGGCCTAAAAAAGTAGGACAGGCTTCCTGTGGCAAACTTTCTGTCTTACACCAAAAGATGCTGCCTATGAACAATTGCTGGAGCTGAGGTTTTGGCATTCTGCCTTCATACAGGCAGCCACTTGCCCACTCCTCCAAGACACAGACTCTCATGGCTTCAGCACCACATCCAGGCAGGTGGCTCCCAAGTCTTTCCCCTCCCCAGTCAGAAATGTGCTGTTTTTTCCACTTGAGATGAAAAAATAATGTGAAGGAAGTAAGTTCTGCATTTTAGCACTAAAAGCCAGGGCAGTTTGTGGCCATTCCTTTTCTGTGGTAAAATAAAGGCTGAAAGAACCATACCTAATTTCACAGGAATTCTATTAGGAATTCATATTAGGAATTCTGTTTTCATTATAAGTAAAGTTATAGTAATGGGTGATGGCTACAACTAGTAGTATTTGAGCACTGCCAAATTCCTGAAACAAAGGAAGAATACAGGCATCGTATTGGCAGTCATGTGCTCAGCTCACTCTTTGTGACTGTGGAGCATAAGAAGCTGTAGGAGAGCATCTCTGTGAAATAATATCATAGCTCATCACACTAAGAGCTGTGAAACGACAACAGCCAGAGATAGCTCCACAAAGGCTGACTTTGTGGCTCAGAGGGGCTGTCTCTTGCTTCCAAGAACTCTTTCCGCCAGATCCAAGCAGTGAATCTTTTCTGTCAGTGGTCCCAATTTTCTGTCCTTCCTGTTTATGTGTTGCAGCAGCAATTTCAGGCTATTTCCACAAGCTCCTTCTTTGATCTCCAGTAGCTAAGGAGGTTATGCAGTCATGCCACCAACCTGTAAGGAGATACTCCACCTCCATGTCCCTCAGTGACTTCCTGAGAAACATTTATGCTGTGTACATCAGAAGTTGTTTCAAGGAGTTGATTTAAAACTACAGGTGAATTGAATGTCTAGCAGAAAAATGGGGTGAGAACTCACCATGGCTGGTGAGTAACAACAACAACATCTGCTACAGACTGCAGGAGCGGGTTGTTCAATCATCTCACTTTGCTTAGTCTATTTGGAAAATGTTTTGGGATCCATAATACACCTGAAAGGCATTACATGTGAACAAGTGCTTTAGGTATCTTCTGACCATTATACCACAGTTATTTTCTTCACTTCTGCTACCCCTAAATACTCCACTCCTCTCCTGAATATGGCACAAGTTCCAGGGTCACATACTCACACACATGACTCCCTTTTGCCACCTTTCCTTCCTAGGGCCTCAGTTTCAGTCCATAATCCTAAAAGGACTCCAAAGATTTTATCTATTGACTCACTCTTGTAAAAATCATAAAAGGTCTGCATTTCCAATTTTGGCATAGAAACTTAAACAGCACACATACCAAAGCAGAATGTTTCTACTAATGGCTATAAGATCTCGACCATGGTCTGTGGACAACCTGACCCCAAGATGAATGAAAATAAAAGCAAAGATAATGAGAGACAAACATAAGGGAATAAAGACTCACCTGCCATGGTGACAGACCTTCCCACTGTACTTCCAGAAGCTCTGTTTCTGAGTATTCTTTATATATCACAAGTTTTGATAAACAATTAGCAGGAAGGTTGGGTGCATATAAACACTGCTAGTAGATTTAGTAGACTTCAGAGTCACTGAACATTAATAAATGCTATTTTTCAGCAGTGACCTATTAGGGAAACAGCTTTCTAGATGAGACTGAAAGACCTTCATCTAGAAGCAATAAGCTCTCAAGATGGAAGACATAACAGTTAATTAACATTTTAAAAGCCCCCACAAAATTTCATGGACAGCTCAGCTTTAATGACCTTGATTTCAACCCTGGATCTAAGGAATCTGCCTACAGACAGGTGCTTTGCACAGCAGAGGGGAGCAGACACTCCAGTGTTGGGAGCAGCAGCTGTACACACATACAGCAGAACTGTTGTAAAGCACTGTAAAGGCCTTGTTTAAGCAGAGCAGTACTCCTTCTCTGTGAATTTCTTACCATCTTTGATTTCATCAGGATCATAAGCCCCCTGAACTGTGCTCTCACGCAGCCAAATGGGTCTCTCTCTAGCTGGCTTTCCTTCACTTGCAGACCGGTTCAGATCCTCCTGGTCCTCCATGCTGATGACGACATTCTGGGTATACAAGTCCTCATATGATGGTCCTTTTGTAGTCCATGTTTCCCGATGGTGTCCACCTGCAAGGCCAGGTGCTGTCCCTGAACCAGCACCAGCTGCACGCTCCTTGCTACATGAAAGTCAAAGAGAGAAAAACAGCTCTCAGAACAAGCCCCTCCTTAGAACAAAAAATTAAATTATGATTAGTTATCTTCCATGATCTGCACGGAAAACTTTCATTCTCAGTTCTAACATGCTGCCAGGAATTTCTGTGCCAGATTGCTGGTTTGGGGAACTTATGGATCTGTAGTGGGAAGCCCTACATAGGGCCATGGCAAAATCCACCACAGACACTGAAAAGAGGCAGCACTAGAGATGCAAATGCACTTACATTAAAACAAGCATAAAATCCCAGAATTCCCTGAAACAAAAGCCACAGCAGCAGAACACAGTCAAACAGTAGTCTGGTATTTGGAAAAGCCTCTTTTTGGCTTTCACACAGCAACCAAATACTGCATTAAAAAAGCACTGAAGTTTAACCAAGATAGATTGTAGGCCCAGGGACTCAGCATGCTCAGAGCTGTGAACTGTTATTAATCATAGGACTTCTGAAGGAGTTAACTCACCATGAAAAACACAATTCAAACCTTTGCTTGAATTGTGAATGACAATGCACAGGAAAATTCACCTCTCCTGTGTCTGTACTATCCACAAACACAGCCTTGGGAGGACTGGGGAGTCCAGGCAGAGAAGAAAGAAGAGAGCACCTTCAAACCAGAGGACTAGGGCTGGACAAAAGGCTTTGTGTGCTGATGGTGCAGGAGAAGACAGAAAAACTGTCTTCACTGTGGAAAAGCTGGAGAAATAAAGGTGCCGACCTATGTGAAGGGTATGGCAGTCAAAGCCTAGCCCTCCTTTGCTCTCAGCACATTTCCCTGCAGAGTCTCTTCTAGCTCAGGAGACTGATGGAAAAAAACATTCCTGCTTGGATCTGATCGAAAGAGAATGTCAGGTGAAATATTTTCTGCACACTGATGATGGCAGTGAGCCTAAAATACACCCTGGCTTGTGCTGCTACATATGCATAGAATGGGGAGAGCTAAACATGACTGTTCTTCTACATCAGAATGATATTTCATCTTTTCAAAGAAACAAATTCGCTGCAGACTGCACCTACCCTCAGCCTTATAATTTCAGTCAGCTGATTGCCAGGGAAACTACAGCTTTTCAGGAGGAACAGTCCTGCCTTAACTACTCCTCTTGTTCAAAGTAAATCCATCAGGGATACTCCACAATGCCAGCTGAGCTGACAGTTGTCATCAGTGAGCGTGGTTCAGTTGCTGCTCTTTACCCCAATGACCTTTTCTCCAACCAGGAAGCTTAAAATAAAGTTGCACTTGGAGAAGACCTGACTAATATGCAGTTATTTTAGCAAGGACATTACCACTATTTGATGAGCTAATTCTGCTGGACTTTTAGGGGTAAACAGTGAGGGGAAATTATACTTGTAGGTGAATATTGCTCTTCCCCAGATAAAAAATATTGGTGTGTTCAGCAACAGTGTTGTTCCAGAGCTACTCACAGCCTCTCAGTAGTGGAATGGCTGGGATCTGTTAAAAAAATACTTCACAGTATCTGTGTTAGCATGTCTCGTGTCCTTAGTAATCCTGCAGCCAGCTCTGCTAGGAGAGCTTCACAGCAGGTTTGAATTTTGGGGCAGAAGGCTCATGCGCATGTATTGCTTATGTAACCTAAGGAATCACACAGAGACCTTCTTCCTAGCATGTTATTTCAAGTGTTGGTACCTTTCAGCACTCCAAGACAGGCGCGTGTTCTGTGAAAAGCACTGCTCTGCTTCCCACACAATAGAAATCTCTACCTAGCATTTCCTTGACAATTTTATGTAATCCACTTTCCTCACAGGATGCATAATGCCGCTCTCCCCTAAGCTCTCCCTCTCCATGACTGCAGCATGAAACTTAACCCTCAGTAGTGCCAGGAACTACCTAGTAATACTTTTGCACAGAAGCCTCTGTAAGTGTGCCTGAAATTGACTTCTTTCCTACACAGAACCATTTAGCAGCAAAACACTTATTCCATGATGTCAGGAACGTTTCAAAAATGAAACATTTCTAAGAGACACTTACAGTACTAATTACTTCATGTGATCTACTGCAATGTCCCATACTGAGCTGGAGCCGTCTAGACACTTTCTGTCTAATTCTGGACCCCAGTGTGCCTCAATTTATGTCTTTTTATCTTCAGTGACACTGTTGGTAGGTGTGAGCACCACCCCAAGACTACCTGAGCAGGGGAACACTTCTTTCTGCAAGAAGAGAATTTACTGTTCAGCAACCTGTTCCAAAGTACAGGATTAGACACCATGGACCAGGCAGCAACAAAAGCCCAGGTGTGGGAGCTGCCTTACCAGTAGCACAGAGCAGATGAAGGGATCTCTTAAATCTCTCTTTCTCTCTTAGATGCATGAACTACTTTTTCCCCATCTTGCTCTAGACTTCACATAGCCACCCTGCAGGCAGGAATTGTGGCAGCTCAGTGGCCCAGATGTGGCTACATTTAGTCTGGTTTGTTCACTCTGATGGAAATCCCTTCATGAGTGGTTTAGCTGCCTTTAAAGGCAACATAAATAGCCCTTGACTCAGCTGAGATATGGCCCACAGAAACCACAATTTACAGTGGGCAAACAACTTGAACTTTTCATCTCAATCCTGCCCAGACTATTAAGAAAGGTCTTGGATAACAGGGATAACTCTCTTTTTTTGTCACGTTGGAGATAAAACACATTTTCACTGTGCTGCTCTTAAGAGCTTCAACTTCACAACAGACAACCCATGGTTCTTGACAACATGATCACAGAAAATTAACTTCGTGAAGATTTTTTTGTTAATTGAAATCATGCTATTTTGACACAAGGAAATAGAAGGGTTATTAAAATCCATAATTTTTCAAAAAACACAGAGAAGGGCTTAAGTAAAGCAGGTTTATTTTGAAACCTGTGGGGCTAATTGATGTTCTCCCACAATAAAGAATATTAACAGCCTCTTAGGAAAACATAAATGAAGATCCACCCAGTTTCCCAGGGCAGGTGAATGAAAGTTATGCAATGCCAGTGGGGCCACTTAGAACTGTAACTCTCCTGAAAATACGTGAACTTACCCAAGTTACTGCAAAGAGAAGATGCAGGCATTTTGTGACCTTTTCAGTTTGTTTCAGAATCACCAAATATCAGTTTTGTCAATAATTTCAGACACTCAAGACTCCATAAAAACAGAGACGATAAATAACTCAGGGTTTGGCACTTAAAAATCTCACAGCAGTGCTTTCATGGAATTAACTGCTATGAATTAATAAGAGTTAATAAATAATTAAATCACTGTATGTGCTGAAGCAAGTTGTGTTCAAGTAAGCATTTAAAAAGCTCCCTATTTATTTTGTCATTCCTTGCACAGAGTAATTAATCATTTACAATGTTTTTAAAGTATTTAAGAGTCAAGTAAGTGGGCGCTGCTATTTAATCATGGGACTGCATCAGGCCTCTGCTGTGATAATTTCCTGCACATACAAAAAGGGAAAACTGAAAAATTACTCTCTTTTTGGTAGGCTTATCCCTGTTCTACTATTTAATCTACTGAAAACGGATTTTAAAGCAAAGTCTAGTGATTCAGATTGGGTATAAATGCTTCAAAGAGTTCCTCATATCACCAAAGACACATTGAGTGACCTTGGAAAAATCTGTTCTGCTCTTTATATTGCTTCTGTTTTTTCTGTCAGAATGATGTGGAGAAGTAACTACCTTCTTGGCTAGAAAAAGACTATGAATAGGCAAAGAAATTTTACTATATTAATTAGAAGCTGCCTAGCATGAACATTCTCAAAGTTAGTCTGAGAGAAAAAAAAAGAGTATTCTGCTTGCTCTCCTATTAACTAAAGCCAAGCACCCCAAGGCACTGTGGGATTGCTCTTCCTCATGGTACAGTTCTTTTCCTCCGTGTGTATAACTAAATTTTTTTAAATACAGAGAAGTGCATCATATTTCACCACAGCTGACAAAACTGACAGCTCCCCACATCTTTTTGCATTATTTAAACATCATCTGTTTTTGTAAAGCTAGGAATGTTCTGAAAGAAAGTGTCATTTCCCATGGGTAAGAACATTTTAAGGAGTTTTTGATTCCAACACGGTCTTCTCCTGAAAAGAAGAGGTGTGTAACAAGTTGGACAAAAACAGAAGAAAAAAACCTGCTTATTACAAGTAATGTCTTCAAACTAGAATGTTGTAATATGAGGATTTGAAATACAAGGTGTGGATTGCAGATAGCTTCGTTTCAAAAGCTGGGTAGAAGCAAAAGGAAGAGATGAAAGGTAAGTATGTGAGGGATAGAAGACAGCCTAAGCGGCACCTTCAGAGCTTTGTCAAGCAGCTGCAGTTTGCATTTTTTAAATACTGGGCCAAGGGCTCGTTGTGCATACTAGCTACAGCATGGCAAGCAGTAGGCAATTCAAGCATCCCACCTCATAGAAAAATACATGCAGAGGGCTGACCAGAAGAACAGTCATTTTGTCTTGTTTAGTAAAAAATGGTTACAGTGCTCTGTCTCCTTGTAAACCACACATCCCTGGGGCAATCTGTCAGTTGTTTGCATAGTTGGTGCTGTACAAGTAAATCCTGCACAAGGTTTGGGAAAGCCCCACAGAGCGGAGGAACACTCTACTCTACAAGGAAGCAGTGCAGTGAGGAAAGACCAGGTGCGCTCCCACCTCTGCTTCAGGGCAGGAATCTCTGTGGGTTCTGGCTCCAGGATTTCATAGGCTAAGTTAACGTCTTCCGTCTCACGAAGCAGTGCGTAGATGGGCTCAATTTGCTCATTAAACCGTGCAACGAGTGTCCTTGCATCCTTTTTGGGCATTGCTGACTCATCTTCTTCCACTTCAGTCTCACAGAACGTACAGCGGAAAGTTCCTAAAATGAGAGAAGTTGTTCAGCGTTGGAAGGAAAGCAGCAGGCCTGGCTCCTCATGCAGCCTTCCCAACAGCAATGCCTTGCTGTTCCCTTAGCTGGATGCTAAGGAGTTTTTCTGCCCTGAAAATCCCTTCCCACACACTGTTATTATTCAAGCAGACAACAAAGCAAGCATTTTGATACCACTCAGTGATACCCAGCTGGGTACAGTTTCTCGCTCTGAAAAGCCCAGATGGGCTGCAATACCTCTACTGAGACATCTAATCTCCCTCCCTCCTTGCTGCACATTTTAAATGTCAGCTATGACTGGACTTTGATAAAAAGCAACACAATATCCTCTAAGGAGTTAGAATATCATCTGTTTCATGTGCCTGCGCTGCTATCTCCCAGGCCACACGAATAGGCTGATTTCATAATAAAACTGTAGTTTTACACTGCACTAACCAGCCTGCAGCCATTGCTAATCTAACCGTTGTCACGTTGTAGCTACTGCAAAAAAGAGATGGCTTCTCCTTCTGTTTCAGGGCCAAACCAAGCAAAAAAGTCATTACTGCACAGCAGTCAATGCAAAAACCTATCCCATCCAACTCCCATATTAGCTTCTTAAAATTATGAATGGTAAGATAAGAATCATGTGAATAGCAGTTAAAAATAAGTTTGTTTTGCAGACCTCATCAGGATCTATAAAAACAGGTCAGAATGAAACGGCTACATGGCAGAGCAGCCACAAAAAACCCACTGAACTCCTGCACAGCAGCTTTTGGGTTTCATCACTCCATCTGTGGAGCAGGGCCCTCGAGGCAGTACGTGCACAGTGGGACCTTTCCATCTGGTCTGCTGGAGGGAGCAGCACACTCTAATGACTTCATCTTGCAAGTGCTGGACTGAGAACATACCCCTGCCACCTCAGAACATGACATCCAGAGTGATGCTCACAGGCTCCTTGATTTCTCTTGTCCCTGGGTGATATTTTTTATTTATCCATTCTGTGACACCTGTGCACATCTAGCCTCACCTCTCAATACCCCAATGAAAAAATGACAAGATCTTTTTACCAATAAAGAGCCTGAGGATAAGTCCTGCCATGGAAATTATAATCTTATGAATAAAAATCAGAATTACAATCAGTACTGAAGTCTTCTATTTCACCAATGCTATGCACAAACACAGCAAAAAGAAAAGGGTTTGTCCAGGGCACTTGGGCATGATGCAATGAGACAGGCTGGCAAGCCAGGGCTTCTGGTGTCTCGGTTTGCTGCTTACACAGATTTGTTAGTGTTGTCACTTCATTTTTCAGGACACCTCCTTCCTGCCTGTAATACAGCAATAAAAATAGACCTAACTTCTTCACCACTGGTTGTGAGGGCTAGATAATGCTTGCACTTGTCTCAGCAAACAGAAAAAGTACTGTTTATGACAGAAGGGAGATCTGTTGCCTCTCACCAGTCTGTAGAGATGCAGTTTTGTACCCTGGCACCATCTGAAGTAGCTTTTGCTCATTGTTACTCAGAAATGAATACATGTTATGTATGTGGCCTGTAATATGGACACATTTCCAGCAATAAATCCTCTCTTTAGAAAGTTCATCGTATTGGCATGCAAAAGCCAGAGCAGTCAACAACAGCGCTATGCAAAGTAAAAGATAAGTGGATACAGTGCTCTTCCCTCCTATCCAAGTATGAAACACTTTGCTTATTTTTTTCCAGGCTGTAAAAATTGTCCCAACTGATTCAAAACTGTTCATTATGTAAGCTGTCAGCCCAGCAAAAACTGAACGCAATATTAGTCTCCTTATCCCACATCTGAGGCTACTGGTGTGACATATATTAATTTATAAATTATTAATCAATTTAAAATAATTAGCACATCTCAATTCCCTTAATGGACTACGAGAACAAATGTAGGTTAATGAAGAACACTGCCCCCTTTTTACACGCCCCCCTAAAAGTCCTGTAACGTGCTCCTGAGACAGCTCAGACTTTTCACACTTCCATGCATGAAACCCATGAGTATCTGCAAAAGATTAAGGTCATAGGGAGAATGGTGCCAATTCAGAGTACCAAAAAATCAGAAAGTAAATACAGCTCTAATGAAACAGAACTCCTAAAGCTATAATGGACGTGCTGCAACTTCCACCCCTCAGGGTTCTTAATAAGCAAAAAAAGTTAATAGATGAATTATGTAAAGAATTTGGGAATGAGTGAAACAAGCTTCCTCCATTAATATGCTGATTTTTTTTCAAGTGATGCAGCATTTCACAAGAGGCATATGCGATTAGACAACTGGGAAGCTGCTTTGCCATGGCAGATGGCATTTACAAGTTGCAAGCCTCTTTCGTTAGTTTTCAAGAGGTCAGAAAATGTCACCGAAGCTTTTATGACATGGCACATCACATCAGCAGTGGCACATGTTCCTTTCAGATATGAATTGCATGTGACAAACATGAAGTGGAGGTCATCCAAAGGCTGAGAACGACAATGTTTCCACTTCAACAATGCATTTTTCCTTCAGCCCTTACACAACAGACTTTTTCAATTCCAAAATGCTGCATAAACTAGGTCTAACAGATATCCTGGAGCAAACAGACACGAGGGTTTCCTGCATCTTGGAAATGCTAACAGAGAGCACATACATCCCCTTCTTTGAACACATACTCAGGCACTCATCAGACCTCTCTAGCTGCATGTTAAAAACCAGCCATCTGAAAGAGATCTGCCCAAATGCTCCCAGACTCTGTGGGGCAGGTATGCTGGTAATCTGGCTCCTGAAGGCTTACTAAGATTAAAGCAGCTCAAGCTCTGAAGTATGGGGCCAGAATACTGAAATTACTTGATTTCACTTGAGAGAAGAAAAAGGTCAACCACCCACACGCACTGAAGGCAAGACGTCCAAGTGTGCACGCTGCATCTGCTACAGTTAACACATTTAACTGGCTATAGACTCCTGAGTCTGAGCCCAGGCCTTGCTTACACCCTCGTCAGAGTTCAAGCCTCATCTCCGGCCCAGCAAGGGGTCTTCCACTCTGTTATCTGGGATGCTGCCCAAGACTCTCACTACGCTCTTAAAAAACTGTATGATTTTCAACCTCAACTTATTCCCATTCGTCTCATACCTAATGACTGTTTTGCCAAGAACTGTACCTCATCTCATCTGGTTTTCATCCTGCTGTTAATCCTTCAGGTGTATTTACAAACTGCAGTCTTATTCATCCCTCAGACTTCATTTTCTAAGGCCATCTATTCTACTTTACCTTTAAAACTGGCCACCTGTTCCTCTGACCTTGGTAACAGTTTCACTGGCCCTTTCTCCAGTTTGCTCTCATCTTTCTGCTGTGAAGACAGAAGTATAGACAAGTGTCCAGATGAGTTCTCCCAAAAGCTCAAAGGCATTAGTGCTTCCCTGATAGCCATTGAGACCTTTTAAGATCATATTGCAAGAGACCATTAAAGTGCTGCCTCAATTATCACAAGACCTAGCATTGTTCCCAGATCTTTCTTTTCCTTTGTATCTTTCCTTCTTTGTAATTTCCAGTTGATGAACTCCATGTTTGTAGCAGACATCTGCATTAGATGGTAGGTGCATGACACTGTACTTCATAGTATAATCTTTCAGCTCCTTTATATTCCTCCAGCCTCACCTTCATCCAATTCTTTATTCTTGACTGCAACACAAAACATTAAGGTAATTTATTTTCAAAATCTCTCACAACCTTCTTTTAGAAGTAGCATTATTACCATTACATGGTGAGTGAGCTGAGGCACAGATGGCACAATTTCAGAAGTATCTGCTGATTTAAGCAGTACTTGATTTGAGATGCTTTTCTGAAACTTCTTTTTCAGAACAGAACATGCAGTATTCTTATCACTCTTCTTTCAGGCTCTAGGATTGGGCATCTCCAATGAGTTAGGTCCAATGGCTAATGACAGCCTCTAAAAAGCTTAAAATTACTAGTTCAACATCACACAAACTCAGCTGGCCTGGAGGATCAGATCATGCTCCTGTGTCTTCTACAGCCACTTTCTTCAAGTAATTCCCTGACTATTACACTGTATTTTTCCTTTTTCTGCAGCAAGCCAGACAAAAAGAGCATTCTGTAAGCATAATTCCTCTCTCCCATTGAGCAAAGCATGTTTTGGCACAGGGGGAATTATGTCACAGAGAAAAAGTAACAGGATGCACAGGCAGCATTAGTTCAGCGCTCCTTAACCCTAAGTGCTTCACCTGATGTTAAAATGACAGTATGAAGACCCTGAGGAAAGGACAAGAGTTTCCTAGGTGCCTATCACCAGGAAGGCAGACAAATGCCTTCCACCATGGGATGCTGTGCCAGCAGCCATATGGTTCATCTGCAGACCGGGAGCCCTCAGTTCCTTTCTGGAACAAAGGGAGGATGAGAAGGAAACACCTTGGGTGCTGCTCTAGCTTCTTGAAAGAGAGGTGCTTTGTGGGAATCTGCTAATCTACCTGCTAGCCCCATGCCTAAAGTTTCCTATCCAGCTTTTCCCATCTGCTTCTCATCCCAGTTCTGGGCTTTTCCTTCTCTGATGGTCCTATTCCTCTTGCTAGCAAGTCTTGGTCTATCTGTCCTCCTTTTTCAGCCTGGGCTTCACTCACTTCTCCGACTTCTCTGTCCATTCTTCTTTTTCTAGATTTCTTTTTCCAATTTCAACCCTTCCTCATTCCTGTGCCTCTCTGCCCCACACTCTTAGATCAACTAATTCTGCCTCTTGATTTGAGCCCTGGTCATCAAACTAATTTCCTGTTACAAGCCAGAGGGATGGAAGATCTTTTCACAGTACAACCTGTCATTCAGAACAATATCACACAGGCAAAAGAATATACATTTTTCTGGTCTCCCATTTTCTCATCAGCCCATTTTTCAATACAGCCAAACTATTTTTAATTAAAATCTCCTAAGCAATTTAAACATCGTCAGATGCATAGAATGGGAAAAAGTCAGCATACAGTAAGTGTTTGACAAAGTTTTGAACAGAAAAAAA